ATTAATATTGGAATTATTAGTTAGAGTAACTATAAATACTTTTGATTATTAAACTGATCTAGTTTCTATTATCTTCGTAGATTATTAATTAATTTATATGTGTACGATATACTAGACTAATAAAATAAATTTAATTAATGATAAATTCTTAACTAAATAATTATAATTGTTTATAATATTTAACTATGACACACACACACATACATACACACACACACACACACACACACACACATATATATATATACTTATTTCCTCTATCTCTCTCTTTCTCTCTAGATTAGTTAGCAAAATATAAGTTAAGACAAAATTTTTAACATATTATACGTACATATGTACATAAACAACACTATATTGTGTAATATATTATACAATAATATTGTATTTGATGTAGTCTACAGTAATAACTTGGTCAATAAGTTATTTTTCAATAAAAATTTTTAATAAAAAAAAATTATCGAATGCAGTGTCATTTATTTAGATATAAAATATTGAAAATTTCGAACCTGATATATAGAAAATTAGAAAAAGAGAAAGAGATAGGAATAATTAAATAAAAAGAAATAAAAATAAAAAAGACAATTTTGTAATATTTAATTACGAAAAATTTCTCTAAATATATATATATATATATACATAGAAAATTAGAGATAGATAGAGAAATAGAGTATTAAGGAAATAATAAAAAAAAAAAAACATAAATAAAATAAAAAGAACAGTTTGCTATCGTAGGACATCATGCTATTACTACACGCGTTAGCGTTATCGACAAAAGGGAAGATTGCGTTGGCGAGCTGTTGTGTAAAGGGCCGTCAGTCATTTTAGACGAATTGTTATTCGCCGTTCGTCCGAACTTTCAATCATAGTGATTGACGGTACGTCGCACCATAGTCCAACACGTAGCTATTAAAGAAGACTCGTACGTTAATCGTGTGTGTATCGTATACATATTCGAGACTCATCCTCGTTAGCATCCTACCCGCTATTAGCGACAACAGCTCTTGTAACTCGCGGAAATCGTAGACAGTAGGGTATACCGGCTTCGTTCTATAGTTAAGAATCGATCGAGGAAGATCTATTTGATTTTAATGACCCTCGCATATATTGATCCCAACGTAAATCATTCTCAAAAACAAATAAAATTCTAATTATTTATTATTTTTCTTTTCCTTTCTTCTTTTCTTTTTATAATTAAATATTCGCAATTTATAATTTTCAAAAATGATTTATTAATATAATTAGCGTTTTCCCTGCGTATATATGTATATATATATATATATATATATATATATATATATAATTTTTTTTAATAATCAGTTGACAGATCTTCAATTATAAATAAATTGCGCAAAATCAATAGGAATTATTTGCGTAATTATAGAGAAAAAAAAATAATTGCATGCAAATTGTTTCGCCAATTATTAAATTGAAATGAAATAAGAATGATATATATATATATATCTAAACAAAACAAATAGAAATAAAAATGTAATCAGAGGATCTATATACATGGATATTATCGCTTATAAGGCAGCCACGAAGATAACCAAAGAAATAACTAAATAAATGGATGAAACGATAGAAGGATAATATCGCGTTGTATATACAAAACATTAGTCTCTTTCAGTCGATTGATTTTCTCATTCGGGATTAGTAAATGAAATAATCGTCGATTAGTACAACCTACTATACGAGCTTTCATTGGAATCGAGACATAGCAGTTAGTTTTAACGAACGGTATGGTGGTGGTGGTGGTGATGGTGGTAATGATGGCAAGCGAGAAAGAGTAGGAGGGAATAGAAGGTGTGGGGACAGGTTACAGGAGAGTAGGGGGAGGGGGAGGCGGGAAGAGGGTACAGAATACCTTTTCGATACCGTTCCTCTCGAAATCTCTCCAGTGGACTCAGTATGAAACGCGGACAAGTCAATTTCCAACAGTGATCGTGCGAAGCTTTTGTTGGCAATAAGCGCTCATTTTATGCCCATTGACCCGATCCTCGTCCAGCCCAGGGATGTTTGTACGAGCGCATTTTGCCAGCTATGTATCCTACTACGTATACGTTTTAGTAACATCGAAAATGTGCTGCTTGTGCTCCTTTCTGCCGCCATTTTTCACGTTTCGCGAATCGAACGAATAGTATCTCGAAAAAACAAAAAAATAAAAAAGAAATAAATAGGAATAAAGAAACAAAGAGAGAGAGAGAGAGAGACAGACAAATAGAAAACATACTCTTTTGATGATTACGACATTTGTTTTTTCTCAAAGAAAATGATCGATCATTTCTATCAATCAATTTTTTCCAATCATCTCTTAGCGTACACTTACCTATCTACCTAATGAAAATTGATACACATAGGTATAGATGTTCATTATCAAAATCGAATGTACTTTCATTTTCTCTTATATATATATATATATATATATATATATATATATATATATATATGTATATATAGCGATATTTACCTTTTACGAATTTAATAAAAGCTTTCCCCCTCCCTTCCCCTATCTATCCTCCCTCTCCTCGCTCGGTGTACACGTTAATTAACGTGCAAGAGGCATATTTAAATTAGCACGTACCTCCTACCTATCGTGATGTTGTTCGTCGTTTATAGGATGGGCTAACGCGTATACAATCGGCCGAAACTCATTCCGTATGTATCTAAAATGCTAATTTCCGCTCGATATCCCGTAAGGGGGTAGAAAAGGGTCAGAGAAGGGGGACTCGAAGGGTGGAACGGTATATAAAACTCATCGAGCTGGTATCAAATAGTAATAATAATTAGAATATAATAATAATAATAATAACAATAACAACAATAATAAGTGTTATTATTATTATTATCGTTATTATTATTATTATTATTATACAGTAGGATCGTTGAAAACTCGTATGCAATTTGGTAAATACATAGTTCATACATTCGTTCATTCGTTCATTCGTTCGTTCGTTCGTTCGTTCGTTCGTTCGTTCAGTTCAGTTCAGTTCGTTCAGTTTATTCGTTGAACGTTGCGTCGATTATTGCATAAAGCAAGGACGCAACACGTTGCAGATAAATCTAAAGGTACGAGTTGGTCTTTCGCTTTCAACGAAACGCCGCTTTTAGCGTCTTACTTTTCATTGCGGGTGAATAATCTTTGCAACGGGGACAATATTAAGAACGAAATTAATTGCCGTGTATGTAATAAAAAAGACTAAAAAAAAAAAAAAAAGAAAAAAAAAGAGGTAAAAAAAAAGTAGAAAAAAAATAAATAAAAAAGAGAGCAACGAGTCGAACGGACGGAAAATTTCGTCGTCGTGTAAACGACGAAAAATGCGAACATTTTTCGATACGTTTAACCTCGAGTGATTCTCATGCGAAATTTCGCTGGCAAAAAAAAAAAGTTCGTCGACAAAAAAAAAAGAGGGAAAAAAAAATAGAAGAGAAAAGGAAAAAAAAGAGAAAAAGAGCGAGAAATATTATTAGAAAGTAGACAAAAAAGTGACGAAATTTCGCCATTCAACCTGTAAATTGGAATGTTCATAAATTGTTCTTCATTTCGATCCCATTAACGTTAAATAAGAACTTCCACATGTCATTAATATAACTCGTAACTCGTTCATATCGATTATTTACTTGGAGACTATAATATGTAAGCTAGATCATTAATACGATTAATATTCTTTCACGATCGATAGAATCGATGAGCTTTTCTTTTTCACGATTACAACTTTAGCAAATAAAAAAAAAGGAAAAAAAAGAAAAAGAAAGAAAAAAAAAATGAAAATAAAACGCTTAGAATAATATCATCATTTTAACAGATTAATAAGAAATTAAATCTTATCCGGATAGAGCATTCCTTTGTAATAATATAATGAAGGTCCAACATTTTTTATAGAAACAATTCTTGACAATTGAAATGTTTAACTTTCAATTATAATCAAATACAAGTTAACTCTCGAAATTGGAGAAAGAATGTGAAAGAAAACAATTGCGTAACATAGAAAAAAACGAATGAGCTAAATGAATATCCAGTGCATATTCCCTCTTTTGAATTTTTCCAAATGATTCTTTTGGCATTATTGCATTATACCATTGTCAATCTTTCCAAACGCTAAATAAAAATTGCCATTTCTTTTGTCCGATATTTTTATTACTACTTCATCACTTCTCAAATCGAAAGCCACAATTATGCACAATGTACTTCTTCCTATTTTGTTTCTACGTGTGTGTGTGTGTGTGTGTGTGTGTGTGTGTGTCTTTCGCATTTGTTGTTTTTTCTTTATTTCATTTTTACTCCTGTCCCTAGTCCTCCCACTAAAAGAAATCTAGTGTCCTCACTTTCTGTCCTTCTTCAATGTATCCTCTCTCTTTCTCCCTCTCTCTGTTCCCGCCCTTTTTCTCCCTCGACTTTTTCGTCGATCTCTCTCCATCATCCTCGATTTCAACACGTAGATTACGACCGCTGACACGCGGCAACGCGCCCGTAAAAACTGTCGACGTATAAAACCGACGTGTTCCCGCGTAGTCGCCGTTCAGCTTTTTGCACCATTTTCCAACCCCTCTTTCGGTTGCTCTCCATGGCACTCGTCCATCGAGAGACAGAGAGACAGAGAGACAGAGAAAGAGAAACAGAGAGGGAGAGAGAGAGAGAGAGAGAAAGAGGAAGAGTGACACGAAAAGCGATGAAAAGAAAGAGAGAAAGAGAGAGAGAGAATTCTTTTTTTATTTCTTTCTTTCCTTCTTTTACATATATATATATATATACCTTTCTAGTTGGAATATCGAACAACGAGGAAATGATCATAACGTGGACGTGTACGCATTTGACGATATAAAAAATATTATCCATTAATAATATTTCAAGTTTAATCGTTGAATTGGGAAGGGACGAGAGAAAAAAGAAGAAAAAACAAAAAAGGGTAAAAGAGGAAAAGGGAAGAAGAGTGACTAAAAAAAAAAAAAAAAAAAAAAAAAAAAAGAAGAGAAAAAAAGGCATAAGAAAGAAATCAACTTACCATTTATGATCAAGAAGACACCGAGGACGTAAAAAAGTAGAAGGGAACGGCTAGGGCACATCTTTGTTCTTCCTCTATCGGCAACTCCTTTTCTTGACGATGAATATCACGATATCAAAAGAATGGCGAGATTTGCTGATAAACGCAAATAAACGACGATTTGAGGTGAACTGTAATAATCGTCGCTTTGCTTTGCGTCGCGTCGCGGAAATCGTCCGGGAAGGATGGGAAAGGAAAAAAAAAAAAAAAAAGAATGGAAAAGAAAAAAAGAAAGGATCAGTGAAAGAAAGGGGAACACTGAACGGAGTTCTCACTTTTTTCCTTGCAAATGCATCTTCTTAAAGTTTGCGTTTGAAAACCATCGATTGTTCGATTCACGGGGGACGAACAGCGGCGAACGAGATCGGCAGGGGTTGTGGCGGCGGGGGTGGCAGCGACGAAGACGCTTATAATTCGTTAGAAAGGGGTTCGCAATGGCCTTCTTTGAACTTCGATCAGATCGAATCAGATATATCTCACACCTTCCAAATTCCAAATTCACTGTACTTTTTATCTCTTTCGTTTTTTCTTTTCTTCTTTTTTTTTCTTTCTTTTTTTCTTTCTTTTTGTTCTCCTTCCTTCTCCTCTCCTCCCTCGCCCCCTCTCGAACTGTGAACTATTCCTCCCTCCTCGACTCGGTCGCCCACCTTTTCTCGTAGGAAACGATCGGTCACGAAAGCAGATTCAGAACACCCGAGTGGAGCTTTTACGATCGCTAATTACAGACGATCGCGTTAATCGGCTTCGATCTCTTTCCGAGGAATCCTTCTATCGTAAACCGATTCTCCAGGCTCTATATCTTTCTACGGATAAGCCCGTGCAACTTCGAAGAGAAGAGATCTAGAGTCGATTTTCTCTATCCCACTTTCTCTCTCTCTCTCTCTCTCTCTCTCTCTCTCTTTCTATCTCTCTTTCTATCTCTCTCTCTCTCTCTCTTTCTTTCTCTTTCTCTCTCTTCTACTTTATATCAAATCCTTATTTCTTTTTTTATCTTCAATCCTTTACTTCCCTTTAACTCGACTCTTCTTTCACGATCCTTTTCGTTCGGCTTACCACTATAAAACACTTTCTCATATCTCTCTTAATTCCTTCTTCCTTTTTTTTTCCTTTCTCCTTCTTCTTCTTCTTTTTGTTCCTTTTCCTTCTTCTCCTTCTTCTTCTTCTTTTTCTTTTTAAAAAAACTCTTTTATTTACTCATTATTTCTTTTTCTCCATTCCTCTTTTTCTTTTCTTCTTTTCTTTTTTTCTTTACTTCGAATCAATTACCCAAATATAAGAGAGTTCGCAACGTTCACGGATCGATTTCATTAATAATATCGACAATAGGATCGATAAGATCGATCGATAATTTTTCACGCGCGTAAATTCGTAACACTAGGAATTATTTATTGAGAATGAAAGAGGGAAAATAAAAAATAGAAAGATAATAAAATAAAGTAAAATGAAATTAAATAAAATAAAATAAATTAAAGGAAAATAAAAATAAATACAATGATATGAAATAAAATTAAATTAAATTAAATTAAATTAAATTAAATTAAACGAAATAAATAAGAGAGAAGATAAAAATAAGTAATAAAAAAGTAAAAATTCGTACTGTTTCAAACGTGGATTCGAAGGCAACGGATAAAATATGAATCGCATAAAAGAAGATAGGAAAGAGGAAAGAAGAAAAAGAAAGAAAAAAATAAGAATAAGAAAAATAAAGAAAAGTGAAAGAGAGAGAAAGAAAGAGAGGGAGAGAGAAAGAGACAGACAGACAGAAAGAGAGAGAGAGAGAGAGAGAGAGAAGGAAAGAGAGAGAAAAAAAAAGATCAAATAGAAGAACGACGAACAGAATGGGATATAAACTCGTATTAAAATGTTATTCGAAAAGATAACCGAGAGCAAAACGTCCAACCACGTCGAGCTCGCGGCGCTTACTGAAGCGTTTCTCCGTCGTCTCTTTGCCGAGTGCATCCGTGACAAGCACGTTTCTCATCCCCACCACTTCTCTTAGGAAATTTTAGTGGGAGGTATGAAAGTGGTAGGGGGTTTTCGGATGGTGGAAGAGGTAGGGGAGAAGAGTGATGAAGAGAGAGAGAGAGAGAGAGTGAGAGATAGGATGATAGAGAAAGAGAGAGAGAGGGACAGAGAGAAAAAGAGGGTGAGTTCGACGCTCAAGCGGCGCGCAGATTTTCATTGAGCATGCGCGACAGAGCTTGCGCGACTTTGTCCGTCGATCCGGCGCGCTTTTCACGGAAACGTACGAAACTTGGCGAATTTTAGCCGAACGCGATCGCGATTAGCAGAGTGCGCTCTACCGGCCGGTAACTACGTAGTAGGGGGATGAAAAGGACATCGAGTATGTCCCGCGAAACGCGCACACACGTTTTCACCCTTCACTCTCTCTCTCTCTCTCTCTATCTCCCTCCTTTACCGTTCTCATTCTATCGCATTTTATATCGTTCTCTCTCGCACTCTCTCCTTTTCTCTCTCTCTCTCTCTCTCTCTCTCTCTCTTTCTCTCTCTTTCTCTCTATCTATCTACCTATCTATCTACCTATCTATCTATCTCTCTCTTTCTCTCGCTCTTATGTGTGAGCGAGCGAACCGACCGGCAAAACTTATGACCTCAAAGGGGTCGTTAACGAGCACCCACCAAATTAGTATAACGGCCACTCCTCTCCGTCTCTCTCGCCCTCACCACCAACGCCATTAGCCTTTCGCTCGTCTCTCCGCTTCACTCGATTTTCACTCGCGGATACTTTGAGACGCCAAAAATTCGGATTAACAGAGAGAGAGAGAGAGGCCTTCGTTTCACTTGCCTTGCGCTTTTCTTTCGTTTTCGTTTTCTTTCTTTTTTCTTTCCTTTTTTTTTCTTTTTTTTTCCCTTCTTTTCGAAGCTTATAAATCCGTTCGTCCGTCCGTCCATCGATCCATCCATCTCTATCGTGTCTTTGAACAGAAAATTCATCTCAGAAAAGGGGCGCTGTTCGAGCCAGACGATGGAGGACGAAAAACAAAGGATATCGATATGCGGGCGAAGTAAAACAGAATTGAAATGAGACAGCGAGCACGTTCGCTTTGAAGTTACGTCGATCAAAGCTAGTTGAAAAGAGGTGAGAGAGTAGAGAGGAACGGGTACCCGACAGAGGAGAAACTTCTTCTAGCGTCGAATTCATCAATCCGGAGGCCTCGTTGGCCTCTCGAGTATCATAGAAAAATGTCCGTTCTTTCGGCCATCGCGAAGAGAGATTTCTATCTTTCTATCTTTCTTTCTTTCTTTTTCTTTCCTTATTGCATTTTAAATATTCACAATAAAATTATTTTATTCCATTATATTATATCCATATATTAATCGTTGAATTTTCGTGATCGAACGTTCTTGCGAATATATTTCTCCGATGGTTCTTCGCATTTACAAATCGAGAAAAGTTTGTAAGAAAAAAAAAAAGAAAAGTAAAAGAGAAAAGAATTAGAGAAGTAGAGTTCCTTCATCGATCTTAATGAAAATTTATAAAGGTCGTCGATTAAATCGATCTGTTTTTCTCTTCTTAATTTTCCCTTTCTTCCTTTTCTTGGTTTTTTCTTTCTTTTTTCCTTTTTTTCTTTTCTTTTTTTTGGAGGGGGGGGAGGGGAATTTAAGGTCAAAGCTTTAACGAAGAGATCGGAATGGACGAGACGAAATTTAGATAGCAAATGGATTTTCGGTATTCGCGAAACATATCCCGAAGGGAAATTTACCGAACGTAGTGACGCTGGTCACCCTGATAGTGGTGCATTAAAAGCACCAGGAGCACGGAGGAACCCGGGATCGTTTCGGGGTACGAAGTCATTGCCCGTCCTATGGGACGTTACGAAATGAAATTGTCACAATAATCATGCGCGAACGTATGTATATAAACGAATGTACATACATACATACATACATACATACATACATACATACATACACATATCTACGAGAGAAGATCGGATACGTGTTCTCGAATCGACACAAAGCGGCGTGTACATATATGTACTTATACTTACGTATATACGTAAATACATACATACATACATACATTCAAGCATACATATATATGTAGATGCATATTATAGATTCGTATATGTTACTGTATCTATGTATTTTCTATTTACTTATCTAATAAGTACGCGATACGTAAATACCAAGGTACGTCTATTTAGAATCACATTGAATTCTCAATATCTTTGAAAGTTCAACGTCAAATTAAGAACTTCTATATATCGAATTATTATATCTATTGAAATATTTCCAAAAATATTTTATTTCAATGACTATGTATACGGCTAATTACTCTTTCGATTTTTATCTCCATTTTTTTCTTTTTTTGTAAACACACCCCTTCAAAACTAAAACATTTTACTATATCATATAATTCCCTTGTAACTGAGTGTTAATAAATCAAGTACCAGAACGCTATTTATGATACTTTACAAATACTTTACAAATACTTTACAAAAGTATTTAAACAAATATACATATATATATATATATATATATATATCAAAGTTATACGGAGAAACTAATTATACCGTCGTACGCGGTATTCGACGCGCGTTAAAGAGGAATTTTAAAGAAAAATTAATAAGAACGGCTTTAACAGGAAGAAATTCCGTTTCTTGGACGATCGATGCACCACTAGAACCTGGACGGACGCAGTAACGATTTACTTTGAGATAGATAGAGAGAGAGAGAGAGAGAGAGAGAGAGAGAGAGGCAGAGAGAAAGAGAAAGAGGAACGAAACGAGAGAACGAGCGAGCGAACGAGGAAGATAGAAAAAGAGGGACAGAAACAGCGTAAAAGTTTAGGATAAATATTGGAAGAAGACAAGTAGAGCGTGTACGGTAAGAGACGTTAGTTTCTCGCTCGTTATAACCGAGTTCCAAGAGGTAGGGAGCCGACGAGGTGACGCAACACGTGTCCCGATCTCACCTATCTCTCTCTCTCTCCCTCTTTCTCTCTCTCTCTCTCTCTCTCTAGATCTCTCGTCAAAAGAAACCTTAACGGCATGTCGAAAGATAAGTTCAGAAGGAAACAAAGTTAGAGCACAAAACTGGATCGTCCTTGTTTTCCTTCTTACGAAGGAATCAATTTTGATAAACAACATATTTGATAGATAATTTCACGACACCCTGTAGATTCGATACCTAGGTATATTGGTTGAGTAGGCTATAAGGCTTACACACGCCCCTCGAACTCCAATACCACGGCCTCATCTACCTCTGATCATTTCGCACGCAATTTGGAGTCATGCCAGAACGTGGTTTCCCGCGACCATCGTGTAAGGTTGCTGCTACTGATGGTGGGGTGGATGGGCGAATGTGGGAGGGTACAAAGGGGTGAGGGTTTGGAGTGAGCTAGCTTGAGAGGATATCAGAGAGAAGGTACGAGAGTTCTAGATTGTGAGATAGAACAGAAGGTAGGAATAGATAGGTAGTCCGATCAGGTTCTGGACGAGGGTGTGCCCTTCCTAGCCGAATGGATTGCCAAACGACCGCAACCCCACCATCGCCATCACTACCACCACCATCACCATCGCCATCATCACTACTACTACTACTACACACAAACTATCGCTACCGTCACCATCTCTGAAAAGTTCGGACCATTCGAAGAAGAATCCGATCGCCGGCTATTAAATTTCTATCGAGACTGGGATTAACCGGTAGCTTTTTTTCTCCACACACACACACACACACACACGTGTGCGCGCGCGCGCGCGTACTACCTCTCAACCAACTCCTCCTTCTCCTCCTCCTTCTCCCATCCCTCGACTACTAATCTTTTTTCTACTGCTCTTTATCATTTCTTTTTTCTTTCTTTTCTTTCTTCTTTTTTTTTCTTTCTTCTTTCTTTTCTCTTCTTTTTTTAATCACAGTATCTATCCTCGAGCGAGACGCGATTTTCACATCTAATTTCTTGTTCTATTAAATAGTTCAATGGCTTTTCGAGTCTATCGGGTCCAGCGGGACGATAGACAATCGATTTTGTCGAATTATATTTAACAAGATTCTTTTTTAATATCATTAATTCAGATCAATAGGACAATTAAAATGATTGTTATTATTAAATGAAATTTTATTAAAAGCATTTGAGAAGTCGTGATAAATTATTCGTGCAAATGTATGAGTATTCGTAGGTATCTCGAAAAAAAAGAAAATTATTAAAAACCCGACGAAGTACGAACTAAGTCCTCTTCGAGAAAACTCAACCTATTTTATTCGAGATGATTTTTATATCTAATATCTGATTCTATTAAATAATACAATGGCTAATTCGTATCCGTCACATCGATTTTATCGAAATTATATTTGACAGGATTCTTTCGTAATATCTTCTATTCAGATCAATTGGACAATTAATATTATTGTTATCTATTTTAGATAAGCGCATGGATATCAATAAATATCTGAGAAATAAAAACAAACAAAAAAAAAAAGAAAAAGAAACAAAAG